GGGAAGCGACCCCAATCTGTCGTACTTTATGCTTTCCAAAGTGTTTGTGATAAAATTCCAGGTCTTATATGCATTCGGGATTGATGGGGAATCGATTGGAGTTCATCCGAGCACGTTTGGGAAGCATAGGAGCAAGAAGGGGAGAAGAGGCACTGGTCACAGCCCGTGACCATGTTCCTGAGGATCAAGATCGTGAACATGAACCAATAAGAAGACAGAAAGTTTCCCCACTCGAATCGTGGACATGGTGCATTTTGACAGCGAAAAAGATCGCGTACGGGACACAAAGATCACGGTCGCGATCTTATGAAGGAGGCCGTGATCTCGGAGCTTAAAGAAGGAGGCGATTCGGGGACGTTCCAGCAGGTCACGGCTGTGGCCATCACGTCACGCCCTAAAGGCCTTGTGATATGATTCCAGGCCGCCCACATAGAAGCAAAGACCCGCTCGGAATCATCATTTTCCCCGACCGGCGAAACAAGAATGGAGACGGGGGATCCGGGCCGGGGCAAAAGCACCCCCTGCCGGTGCTCTTAAATGTTCGACCGGGTTAGACCGGGTTTCGGGGCCTGTCGATTTTTGTTACCTTTTTCGATTAGGATTCTTATTCCTTTTTGGTGTTTTCATTAGTTTGATTTTCCCCAACTATTTAAAGGGTTGTAAGACACTAATTTTAGGAAATTATGAGATTATTCAGACTTTGATAATAAATAAACCCTTTTCGGTTCATTGAGTTTTTACTCGTGGATTTGATAATAAATAAACTCTATAACTGTCATAAACTTGAAAGTTGTGGCTATAACTGTCACAAATGTGAAAGTTGTGGCTATGAAAGTGTATTTTGCTGTTTTTGTTAATCCACGTGGATCGCCAACTCGTCATTTCCGTCAGTCTATTCATACTGTTAAGTGACACCGTTAAAGGGATGGACGAAAGTGGCTATTTTGTGTATTCAAAAAGTTGTGGCTATAACTGTCACAAATTTAAAAGTTATGGATATGGAAGTGTATTTTGTCTTTTTTTATGTGAACTCATTTTATACACTTTAATACATAATTGATTTAAATATGTTTAAATTAGTTTTTTATTATTGAATTTCATTGGTAAGAGTCGAGAATAAATAGCGTCTTACCATCCATCAATTGAAGAGAGAAGATATAACCATTTGTACTTCAGTTGGATTTATATATTTAAAATAATTAATTAAAGTATTTTAATTTTTTTTTTGGTGGAGTGATGTAACGCCTTTATTAGTAAAATATGATACACGGATGTTGCAGTATCGGCACTTACGAGTTTTGAATATCATTTTAACACAATAGTACACTTAACAGTTTGTCCTCTGTTATAAATGCTAGAAATCTATTTTTTAAAATATATGTAAACATAAAAATTATTAAATTATCAATTCAATTCAAGTCCTTACAATATGTGTATTTGACGTTTAATATATTAAATAAACGATAAAAAAGAGATGACTCTATAGTAATATGATACTGAGAGTGAGAGTGTTAATTGAATTTTTGCTAACTATGCACGCAAACGCGTCGCATTCACATGAGCAAGTGTCAATAAAGCACTACGACGAAAAAGATTAATTGTTAGCATTGATGGTCAACCAAAAAGTTTGACATATCCATTATTTTGAAAAAAAAAAAATGTTTCAAAGATTTTGGTCCAAAATGATCCATAAATGGTACCAACGGGACAAGTAATACGCACTCCAACTATCCATAAATGGTACCAATGGGTTCCACATTCTAGGCACAACAAAGCGCGACAACCAATCTTGTGTAAATTAAATGAAAGTTTAACTAAACCCCAATTTGCCCATTTCCTTATCCAAATCTAATGAGTTTGGTTCCTTAACTCATTTCTTCTATAATACTAGGGGTGAGCATTAGGTGGTTGAACCTACAAATTCACTCAAATCCACCCACAATCGACCCACCCATTATCATGTGAGTGGTTTTTATGGGTGAGCGTGAGTTTAAAATAGGCGACCCACAAAAGATTGGGTGGGTGTCGGTGGACTGTGGTTTACCCACGACCCACCAAACTTTTTAATCTCAAACAAACTTTTTAATCTCAAACAATCGAAGCTCGAACATATAACTTTAATGAAAATAAAAACCTTAAAATTACAAATATTCCTGTCAATTTCGATCAAAGAATTGTGATGTGAGGTTTACTTAGGCAATTGGAGCTACGCATAAGCATAACTAGTTGAAAAATGGCAGAAAAAAGACAATTTTCTTCCCAAAATGACATCATCTCAAACTACCCTGATTCATCCTTAATTCCTTTCATCAATTTGGAATTGTAATCTACGACTATAAGTTAAAAAGCTATTTACGCTCACAACGTCTAGGCGAATGAGTCGCTAGGCAAGACCAAAACGTTTGCCTTATGCACAGTGGCTTGTTGAATCTTGGTTATTACCAGGAGTAGACCAAGTTTATCAATTGAATATTTTGTCATTTGTGGACAATTACCAATACCAATATTATAAAATAAATGATTCACCTTATTTATGGATTAAACATTATCTAGTTTGAACATTTATTCATTTAAGTTTAAAACTATTGAATTTATGTTATCATATGGAAATGTTGCCAAGCCACCGAATCCACCCAACCACCCACATGTAATGCTTGGGTGCGTGTGGGTCATTTTCTCCTTCACCCAGCACGTAGTGTGTGGTTCCAAACTCACCCAAATCCGCATAAAATCATCCACTATTCACCCGTATATAACACTTTGCAAATATTTATGGATGATGAGAGATTTATTCTTTTTTTTTTTTGTAAAAGAGATTTATTCCTTTAAAATGAATTGATAAATTATTTAACTCAATTGATGATTAAAAAAGTGAATATATCATATTCATTGATTTATTTGTTTAGGATTAGCATTGATATAGCTGCAGTATTGGAGGTTGGAAGTGACTTTTCGACATGAAGAACAGTTTTGAAATCAAACATGCCATTTTTTTTAATGATTGTTTAGCTAGATATGTGGCAAGATATTTTGTTGAACACTACAAACACAGAGGGAATCTTTTAAATTACACCCCTTAATAGACCTCTTGGGTCTGCCAACGACTGAAAATCTGATATGTTGATGTGGGAGCAATAAGCGAGTGTGAGGACGGATCAGGTGATTAAGGAGATGTTTAATCACTTGACTAAGTCCCTACCAGTTCTTAATGGACACATTAATCAATCTGTTAATAAAATGGGAAGAGCTTCTTAATTACTGACAGATGTAGTTTGTGTATTATGAAAAATTACGAAATATACAAAACGGACTTACAAACAGTACAAACTAGAACGACAAAACATACACACAGATTTACAAACAATACAAAGTACACCGACAAACAATACAAAACATAAAAATGGAAAAACCACCTGGTTGAATTTGGAGGCTTCATCCCTATATCGAAACACCGACTAACAAATATTATAAATTGAAATATATACAAATTAGTCATATAAATAGTACAAAGACAAAAATAACAAACTAGAATGATAAACTGTACAAACCCAATTGATATAAACATTACAAACTAAACTTATAAAAATTACAAAATATGTCAACAAACATCACGAATCCAGCTCAGTCGCCGGAAAATCCTCATCAGCGATCTCTGGTCGCCGAAAAGCCTCCTCCGTTGTCGCCCGAAAATCTCTCTCTCTCTCTCTCTATGCACCTAGGCGGAAATTCCCCAGCAAAGGAATGAAAGTGGGGCAAAGGAATAAAAGTGCCCGGCGAAACTATTCCCAGCAGTAACCGGCGCACCGACGGTCACCTGCTTGATTAAGATTGTTAAATTAATTAAAAATTAAAAATTAATAAAGTCATCCAATTACTACATTGTCCTTCATTAAATTGAATTAATATGAGCCATTAGATTTTAATGGGGTGGAAGGGCTGAGATTCACTCAGGCATGTGACTAAGGACCCCCTTAGTCACCTAATCTTAGCCCAGCGACCAACGACTGTCGAACCTGTTGAATTCAACGTGTTTTTTTCCTCTTTTTTCTTTTTTCTTTTTTGGGAAATAAGGAAAAGGAGGAACACAAAAAGAACGAAACAAGCAAAGATAAAATACCAAGGTGGCGATGGCGGTGGCTCATAAAGCAAAGGATCTTTGCTTTAGCATTTGCTTACTGTTATGGGTTGCTTTGTTTCTCCACCACTTTTTCCCCGACCCCTTTTTCTCTGCGCTTTTACTTACTGTGGACAATATTGGTTTTCTTATTCATATATGCACGGGGTAAGTTGCCATGATCATGGTCCATGGAGATCATTAGAATATCCCCACAAAGGGAGTCGAAAGAAAGGCACCAAATACTCTCCATAGCTTTCCCCCCTTTAGCTTGTTCCACTCATGCTGCTCCACAAATTACGACTTCCTTCGAACTTTACGACACTGCTACTTCCAATAACACTATAACAACACCAGCCCCGGGCACCTCCGCCGTCTTTTACCTTTCAAACTATCCCTCTCGAGGACCAAAAGAATACAACTTTGACATCACTCGAAGTTGATGCATTTTTCCTAGACTGCAGTTCAAGCAAGAAGCTACCATTCTAGTGCAGTTGGAAAAAGTTTGTGGGGTGGGGCAAGGAAGGAAAACCGCCCTCTGGTCCAAAGGATCATTAGGTTCATACATACACATCTTAGTACAATAAGGTGTGTGGTATACATTCTATCTTACAAACATAGAAATACTCTGCTGCAGCTATCCAAGTTATTGCGATGATAACAATCCATCTCGTTCAGCTTATTCTGGTAATCTCATACGGCTGAACAACACCAAGAAGCTTTGCTCTGGGACTACATACAGGAATCCAAGATCTGCACCTTTCACATATGGTCCGGTTCCCTAAATGAAAAGAACGAATATGGATGAAGCTGCTGTATAGACCATACACAAGAAGCCTGCGAGACGTTTGTATACCAACAACACAACTTTGCAACAACTGAACCATCACGAATTCTTAAACCCGAACTCTGCTATTCTCCCTTCACCGTTATAACTCACAACCTGAACAAAACAGTTCCAGAAACATGTTGCATATCAGCTATAAGATCCAAGATCGGCAAGTTCAAGAAAGCAAACAAAGCCAGTGTTGCAGGACACAAACTAAAAAACAACTAAATGCATGGAAATAAACAATTATATATGTCAACACCGGGAAGACTATGCCAGTTTATGTCACCACTCTTATGTCCAACTCAATCTTGAGTCTCGACAAGAAAACATGGAAATAAACAAATGAGCAGGGTAATGCCAAAGTAAGGGAAAAACCAATTTGTTTGTCACTGTGTGATGATTACAGCCTAAACATTCTTGTCAGCCTATAATGTATCGCATGCAAATAGAAGTGAAATGAATTTCAGTGGGTACTTAGAAAGAACTGGTCAATTTAACTGACTTCACAAATGATTCACTTCTTTGTCTGTTTCATTACTTCAAAATTTCTATTAGGTACAGGAAACATCAAACTTGTAACACTATGTTGAACAAACTGGAGTAGGAAACAAGGACAAGATAAGACCGCAATCCTAGTGAACCAAAATAGAAACAAGAAATCAGAAAGCCATCAAAGAGCAAGTAAAGTTACCACTCCTAATTCATCAGGATACATCCCACAATTGGAATTGCGACTCCCTTTCCCAATTTTGGCACGAAATGTAACCTACATTTGCAGTCATAGGTTAGCATCAATTATGACTTGGAAATCAAATTGAGTGAAGAAGTATGAAAAATTAGAATTTGCAACCTGGCCAGCAGGAACATTAAGATCCCCAGTAAGCTTCACGGCCTCAACATACTCGAAGAACTCTACAACAAGTTTGAATATTTCACGCACATTCCTGGAAACCTAAGCCAATAATAAAAAAATTAAATCATCAGAATATTGCAAGTAATCAAAAGAGTGGGCAACTTGATAATGCAATGATCACACTTCAATAGCTAAAACGAGACCGGGAAGGGGAGGTGCATACACCTCAAACTTCCCAATAATTGAAGAACAGAGAAGTTTTCATATCTAGAGAAACTTGTTACTATCATTGAAAATAGAGTACAGTGGACAACCATACTCACCTTTGAAGAAACTTTATCGACACCCCAAAATGCCTTTGCTACATCTTGAGGCATAAGTTCAGAAACGCCTTTGGCTGCAATTGCTTCCACTTCCAACTTGGATGGCTTACTTTCTGCATTGTCATAGTCTAAGATTCTCTCAGGGATGTGTAGAACGAAAGAATCTTTCTCGACATCTTTGATCTCAGCCGACACACGGGAGAAGTCATCCTTGGAAGGAGTATCCTCATTATTATGCACCACTCCTCCAATAAAGAGTTTCATATCAAGATCCTTTCCATCCTCTAAGGAGTCACTACTACTCGCTAAGGAAACTTCATCGGTCTGATTCTCTTCTAACTTCTCAGATTCATCTTAAGAATCTTCATTAGACACTGTCTTTTCATCCTCATCTTTAATCAACTGCTTCAAAGAATCAACATCTTCTGCCGCCACTTCTCCATTAACATCAAGGTTCATGACTTTCACATTCATCCCTGGAATTTTATCTTTAAGAAAGTTTATAACACATTTAATTCCTTCCTCAGTATCTCCTTCGATATTTACACCCTTTTCATCACTTGGCTCTTCTTTAACCCCATTTCGCTCCCCATCTCCATCAGATACACTTTCCACCTCAGCCATAGAGGGCTTTACAGATTTAGGTGGGGAGGTTGTGGAACTCATCGAACTTGTTTTGGTTCGCAAACAAACTACCTGGAAAATCAGAATAACTTGTTATCAAGTAACACGGCCAAAAAAAAATTCCATCAAAGGAAACAATGAAGACTAACCCAGAATAAAGAGAATCATATTCATATATCACGATAAAATAATAAACATCAATTTAAGTTTTTCTAGATTGAACATCTCTTTAAGTGTCGCCACAGATATGCTTCATCGTGGGTTTAAGAGAGAAGCAGGTCAAGGAGATTTGACCAAACACAAAACTAACTTACTAAAATGGATGCAACTATAAACTGAAAATCGTCACCTAAGAAACCAATTAAATTTGAAAATCCCTAGCCACTCACTTGCATCACATATTTTTCATCACGATCTTTGACGACAAATATATCGAACAATAGAGTACCAGAAGATGCATTGACCAACTCCCTGCAGCAATCAACAACTTTTACAACCTTCAACTTAACACTCAGAGATGTTTCAAAGAACCAAGAGGATGGGAAAACCTTGGTGTGTAACTCTTGGCGATGAATCTTCCCATTCCAGGTGTTATACGAACAAGTCTTCCAAAGGGATCAGTGGTCTGTTGAATAACCTACCCACCAACCTACCTATCAGACCAAAAGGAAAATTTTAAATAACAAAGGAACCCCCTAAAAGGTCACCATGCGTTACGTTCATTTATTATATAAAATGAACTATATCATGATCATATTGATCACCATGGTCAACCAAAGCCAATAAGCAGAAAACACAAAAAAGTTATAGAAAATTTCCCAAGTTATGGAGCGATATTGTTGTTTGATGTACTTTTCCAAGAAACCATTACACCCACACAGATTATAATCAGAAATTTACATCCACAAACCATGGAAGGAGAGGTGGTATAAGTACATACCAATCCGCTTCCAGTGTGTTTACATAATTTTGAAGCGTCATGGTAGCGCTCTTCGTCAATTGCATTCTGCATACAACACAAGAGAGGGTGAACAACGCAAGTTCTAATGAACAGGAGAAACTTCAAAAAAGGGGTAGACATGAATGGAATTCAAACCTCGAGTTCGGACATAATTTCACCAACACTATCCATTGAAGTAGCTTCAGCAATAATCTTCTTCAACTTCGCTGCTTCCTGGAAGTCTTCCTTCTCAATTGCTTCTTCCAGTTGAATCTGTAAGAATATGCCTTCAGATAACTCAGATAAGAAAGACAAACAAATATCCTTTGAACAATCAGGAATTTTCCAGCCCTGTTCGAAAACTCAGTTTTACGACACAGATGAGAAGCACCAACCAGAGTAACCTAAGCCCCAACATACGACAATCAAATTAGCCTGACTAATAAGACAAACGCACGAAACGGTCCAATAAAGAAGCAGAGGGGAAATTGAGAATACCTTGAGAACAGAGGCAAAGCTCTCAGCTTGTTCGATCTCAGCAAAGTGACGGCCCCACCTATTCCAATCCCAGTCCTGAGAAGAGTAAGAAGAACAAACATCAGCAAAAGTGCTACTTTCCGCATTAATGATATCGTCGCCACAGTGGCAACTCCGTAAATTCGTGAAATTCTTGCGGACTCTGGACATGGAGCTACTATGGTGGAGAAAAGTATTCAAACCCACGAAGCCGAAACTTCTGTTGATGGGTTTCCTGGACGAGGAATCAAGGCAACAGAAGGGCTTCAATTGGGGCGCCGTCGCTACAGCTTGGCCACCGGCCAACCAGAGATTCGCCCCTGCCATCTCTGGATTTGTTTCCGGGCAGTATCGCTGGAGGACTGGGCGAAGAGAAAGGAAGATTGTAAGTTATAACAATTAAACAATATGAAAGGGTAATTTCAAACAAAAAGAACTCCAGAAATTAAATTAGAAATTGGGGAGTAGCAAGCACAGCACAACAGGATTTCTCCTAAAATGCCTAGCTATAGTTTTTACACTTTTAGCAGATTTATAAGGAGATAAGATTCACAAAACTATATTAGAGACAAATAAAAAAGGGATAAAGAAAAAAATATCACACAAACATTGGGAGGGGCTAGGTTGATTACTACAAAGTAGTAATCATCATGGTTCTTAAGGGTAACTAACGGAAGAGTGACTAAATGTGACCAGTTTCAGTAATTCGAGTGACCAAAATTGATATTAAGTTTTTCTGGTGACTAAACATGACACGATTTAGTAATCTCGGTGACTAAACGTGGCATTTACCCCAATAAATGGTTTCTCTTTTTCTTTCTTTGCTTTATGCCCGGATATCACTCGGCTAGTTTTAGATCCTAAAAACTAAAGAAAGTGAACCAATTAGACTATATGGACTTGTGAGTACGTGTCAAGTTTATCAAATTACTGGTTAGTCGGGTCACAGGTTCTGATAACATCCAAATTGGTGTTATTTATCCTTCAAGTCTAGATCTGTTTCATGCTAATTCATGTTCATAATCGTTAGAATAATGTCAATTGCATCCTTATTCAGTTCCTATTCGATTATGATGTGATTTTAGAGTGCTCTGTACAATACTTGCGAATAAGGTACGAAAAGGGACACAAATGTAGCAAAATGGGCAAAATGCTCATGATCACGGCCTGGAGATGGAGATCACGGTCGAGAACAAAAAAATGCGAACTCAAGGTGAAAATCGCAGTCTGAGAGCACAAGATCGCGACTGCGAATCTGGAGGCTTCGAGCGCGAACTTCATGATGAAGCCAGCCGAGGAGAAATAGAGAGTTTCGCCAGTTTGATCACAACCACAGTTCACTGACCGTGAAGAATTTCGCGGACGCACTTCACGGATCGCGTCCGTGAAGTCAGCCCGCGAACCCCTCGCGTTTGAAGGCCAAAACGGTGGCGGTGGCAGATCGCGGTCTCAAGGAAGAAGATCGCGACCGCGATCTTCACACTGCCTGGCCGTGAACTTCCCTATCCTCTGAAAGCTATAAGTAGAAGACCCCCTTCCCCCATTGAAGAGAACTTATTTTGAGATATAAATTTATGGTTAGAGAGAGAAGAGAGAGAAGTTGAAGGAAGGAGAAGAGAAGAGTCACCTTCCTCAACATCAAGTCTTCCTCAATTTCTTCTATGTATCTTCTTCCCTCCTTTATGGACTAGTCTTCTAAGGCTCCAAACCCAAGTTTTAGGGCTATTATGTATTGTATGAATATTTTAGGAGTTTGAATGAATGTGTTTATCAAGTTGATTTCATTGCTTCTCTAGCTTTAATTGTGTTTGGGTAAGTCGTCATAATCTTCTCTACTAGCCTACTTGAGCTTCTACGTTTGGTATTGAGTTTTAGGGTTAGACGGGTATGCGCCATCAAGCAAATTAAGTTAGATGAATGAATAGGATCGTATGGTGAACGAGGCGAACGTACCCCTGCCACAGGAATTTCTTCCTAGATAGAACCTGGGATGAAACCTCGGTGTGGACGGTGGGTAGTACCTTAGGTAACTAGTTCTTGGAGCGAGAGCGTGAGAGCGTATAATTTTTAGTGATCTTATATCGAGAGTCTGTTGAGAGCATAATATATTTTTAATTATAATATATTTTAGTTAATATAAAAATTTTGCATGTGGATTTCTATTAATTGTTGGTTCCATCACCCAAATTTAGATGAGCATACTAACTTCACATCAGTTGACGAGATAAACTTTTCACACGGCTATGTATTTTCTGATTAAAAATTTAATCAAGGGAAATGTCTCTTAGTTGTTTACTTTATTAATTTCTAGACTTATCATAAATGTACAACACAACTCTCCTAGTAGACCAAAAATATATTTTATTTAATTAAGAAATGAAAAGTAGGTTAAAAACAGCAAAAAACGAGACCTACCGGCGGGACTTCCTAGATGTAAAATTTCTCTCCTAAATCCTTGCAGTTTCGGCCTCCTGCCGGCGGCGCTCCTCGCAGTCGGACTTCTTTTCTTCCTTTGCTTTCTTGACAAGAATCGGGTTTTCCATGGCTACTACCGCTGAAGCAGGGAAGTCGTGGGTGGATCTCTTCACCATTGACGAGAGCTGCAGACTTCAGTATGAGGAACCAGATCTGGTAGATGGTGCACTGCGTCTACCGAAGACTTTGCTGGATAAGGGAGCTGCTCGTTTGCAAAACTGTTTGGTAGGTCAGTTTATCTCTGCTCCTCCATCTCTTGGTGTCATTAGAAGTTGGGCGAACAAGCTGTGGGGTAGAGACGGGAAAATTAGGGTTTCCTGGTTTGGTGAGAAGCTCTTAGTATTCCAATTCCCGAATGCTTCGACATGTTCATGGGTCTTACGTGGGGGTCCATGGCATCTTTGGGGGAATAATATGTTCTTAAGGAAATGGGAGAAAGGGATTCTACCAGTAGCCCCTGAGAAGCCTGGTCTTCCGGTTTGGGTAAAGATCTCAGGTCTTCCAATGGAATGTCTAATTCCCGAATGTCTGAGCAAAGTGGTTAGCATGATAGGAAGGCCCTTCTGTTCCCAGGTTACAAGAGTATCAGACCAGTTGGGGTATGCGAAATGTTGCGTGGAGATAACAGTAGAGTCGAAATGCCCTGAGGTTCTAAGGTTTGCTCCTGATGAAGGTGAACCATTTACGGCAAAGGTTGAGTACTTCAACTTACCTGCTTCCTGTCAGAAGTGTGGCAAGTTTGGCCATGATTGTAGTAAAGAGGTGAAGGAAGTCAGAAGAGTGTGGATTCCTAAGGCTACAAAGCAAGCAAATCCCAAAGCCAATGAGAATAACAATCTACTGCAAGTGAAAGATGGGCATATTGAGAAATCTGAAAATCAGGGTGATCCTCAGCAGAATAAGGAGAATTAGAGTATGAGTCTTGGTGTATCGATGAAGGATATTGTAGAGGAAGTGGTTGGTAATAAGGTAAATATGGTACAGGAGTTGCAAGAAGTGGCTGATCAAATTGCAGAACAAAGGCAGGCTGTGGATCAGTTACCCTCAGAGGAAGAATTTCAAGAAGTAATTCAAGGGAGGAAAAGTGTTAGCCCTGCTATGGCTGCTAAGCTTTCTAAAGGAAAGGCAGTAATAGTATCTTACTCAGGGGATGAAGGCAACATTGATCTAACTAATGAGGGGATTGATTCCTTAATTAGTGGTTTTGACTACATCACAAGTGGTAGGGGTAAGAAGGCGAGGTGTGTGGGTAGGACCTCTAAAAAAAGATGATAGTTGCTTCATGGAACATAAGAGGGTTTAATAAAACCTCTAAACATGTGTTTGTTAGTAAGTTTCTGCGAGCTCAAAATGTAGATGTCATGGCAATTCTGGAAACAATGGTGCAAAAGAGTAAAATGGGGAAAATTTGTGCAGACTATTTCCCGGAGTGGAAGTACTTGGCGAATTATGATAAATCTAATAATGGAAGGATCTGGGTTTTCCAGAAGTCAGATCTGCAGGTCACAGCTGAGATTACAGAAGATAATTTTATGCATTTGAAGGTTAGGGGGCGAGTAGAGTGTCAGATTACCATGGTCTATGGTCCTAATGAGGAAGCTGCTAGGAGAATATCTTACATAAAGATGAAGGCCATACATGTAAATAATGAGGCTTGGTTAGTTCTTGGGGATTTCAACTCAATACAGGATGTTTCTGAAGCTTCAAATGGAACTTCTCCTGGTTCTAGTGGTAAGGATTTTCAGGAATGGATTGATGAGATGTCTTTAGAAGAACACAAGATAGCAGGGGGGTTCTTCACTTGGGTGAACAAGCAATCTCAAAATCCAATCGCGCGGAAAATTGATAGGATCTTTATGAACAGTTCTTGGTTAGCAAAATTTCCAGGGAGCTGTGCCAGTACAGTTACTCCTAGTACTCATTCAGATCACTGTGGCTTGCTATTGAACTCCTCTCCTGGTACTCATTTAGATTCTTCAATTTCTGGTGTGAACATCCCAGGTTTAAAGAAATCTTGCAGGAAGTTTGGAGTACCAGAGTGTCTGGTTATCCGTTTATCACAGTTTGCCATAAGTTGAGGGTGTTGAATAAGAAGCTCAAGGAGTTAAATAAGGAGTTCTACTCTGATATTTCCCTAAGAGCTCGAAAAGCAGAAGAAGTTCTCAAAGATATCCAGAAAAAGGCTTTTAGTAATCCCTCTCCACAGATATTTGAAGAGGAAACAAAAGCTGCAGCAGAATGTATATTGTACCAAAAAGCAGAAGAAGGGTTTTATAAGCAGAAAGCCAGGGTGCAAACAATAACAGAGGGAGATAGCAACACAGCTTACTTTCATCAGTTAATGAGGGTGAGGCAACATAGGAACCATATACCTTTCCTCAAAAAGGATAATGGCACTATAGTTACTGATGTAGAGGAAATTGGCCAAACAGCCGTATAATTTTATAAGAAGTTGCTGGGGGAGAAAAACCAGGAAGCCAGTAGCAGTTCAATTGAGGAAATGGAGCAGCTTCTGGTTAACAAGGTAACTTCAGTGGATGTCGAGCATCTTTGTTATCCCGTGTCTAAAGAAGAGATTAAGAATGCATTGTTTGACATGGGGACTAATAAGTCTCCAGGACCGGATGGTTATACAGTAGAGTTTTATAAAGCAACCTGGTCAGTTGTGGGGGAGGAGATAACTAGTGCTATTACTTCTTTCTTTCTCACTGGTTTTCTCCCAAAAGAATTAAACTCAACTGTGCTTGCTCTTCTTCCAAAAGTAGTAGGGGCAGATCAGATGAAACAATTTAGACCGATATCTTGTTGCAATGTATTATACAAATGCATTGCTAAGATATTGGCAAACAGGCTCTCTACAGTGCTGCCCAAATTAATTAGTCAGAGTCAGTCAGCTTTTGTCAAAGGAAGAAGCATCAGTGATAACATCTTAATGGCGTCTGATTTGGTAGCAGGGTACAATAGAAAACACATTTCCCCTAGGTGCACGATGAAGATAGACTTGATGAAGGCTTTTGACTCCATTTGACTCCCTTCCCAATTTATTTCCTGGATCAGAGTATGTGTCACTACTCCAATGCTAAGCATTGCTATAAACGGTGGAGTATGTGGTTATTTCCCTTCTAAAAAGGGTTTGCGTCAGGGAGATCCACTATCTCCTTTTCTTTTTTCAATTTCTATGGAAGTCCTATCTTGCATACTGAATAAAGGGGCTGCATCTGGTGATTTCCCTTATCATCCAAGATGTAAGAAGCTGGGGATTACGCATTTGGTGTTTGCAGATGACCTATTGCTGTTTTCTAATGGTTCTGCAAAAGCTGTGGAAAGTGTAAAGGGACTATTGGACAAATTCTATAGGATTTCAGGGCTAAGGTTTAATCCAGACAAAAGCCAATTGTTCTGCGCAGGGATAGAAGAAGCAGAGCATGATCGGTTGGCACAGTTGGCGGGCTTCCAGAAAGCTTCATTCCCTGTCCGCTACCTGGGAGTTCCTCTTATAGCAGGGAAACTTACTACAAGTGACTGCAGAGTATTAATTGAGAAGATAACTAAACGAATTACATGATGGAAGCCAAAGATGCTCAGCTATGCAGGTAAACTCCAACTCATTACATCTGGTTTGAGTAGCTTATCTTATTTTTGGATGAATGTGTTCCTGCTGCCACTGTCTGTTATAAAGGAGATATAACAGAGTTGCTGTAAGTTCCTCTGGGGGGTGGATGATGACTCCATGAGAAGGAAAGTAGTAATGGCCTGGGATTTGATAGCAATTCCAAAGAAAGAAGGGGGGCTTGGCATTCGCTGTCTAAAAACTTGGAATATAGCCTGCACTACGAGACACATATGGGCCCTGCTTGCAAAAGAAGGGTCCTGGTGGGTTGCGTGGAACTACTTATATCGTATTAAACAACTAAGTTTCTGGGAATTAAGAGTGAGCAGCACATCTTCTTGGATTTGGAAGAGATTACTAAAGGTAAGGGATAAGGTGGAAGGTTTTTTTCGATGTTGGGGTACACAGGTTTATTGGAAGGATAAAAGGGTGTTGAAGTATTCAGTAAAACAGGTCTGGCAGGATTTACAGCCTGTTAGACCTTCAGTCCCTTGGCACCAGCTAGTATGGGGTAGACACTCAGTTCCAAGACATAGTTTTTAAGCTGGGTGGTGACGCGAAATAGAATAACCACATTGGCTCAGATGAAAAGCTGGGGAAAGGTGCAGGATGATACATGTCTGTTCTGTTCTGCTCACACAGAGGATATAGATCACTTATTCTTCCAATGCAGTTACACGTTTGAGGTGCTGAAGGGTTGTTTGCAAATGCTTGATCAAAGATGTCCTCAGCTGGCTACTTATGATGACTACTTGCAGTGGGCAGCACGAAAGTTCAAGGGGAAGAAAGCTCTAGCATTGGTGGGTCGTTTGGTCTGGAACTTGGTAGTTAGTCTGGTCTGGCGGGAAAGGTGTGGAAGGCTGTATGGAGGTAATTCAATGCAGTATGGGGAGGTGATTCGTACAGTCAGAAGATTGATTGAGCTGGCAAGGCAAGGAAATGCAGCACTGGATCTGGATTGTAGAGCTGTTTTTATGCAGTAAATGCATTAGCTGTGTAGTTGCGGTAACTAGTAGGAGTTTCGTTTGATGTATAGAGGTAGTGAGAGGTTGAGTAGTTATTGTTAGTTGCAGAGTGTATGATCAAGATGTGTTTACACACATAGAGCTTAATAAAATTTTTTGATATTACCCATAAAAAAAAAAAGAAATGAAAAGTAAAAATATGTAAAAGATATTCAATTGGAGTTTGTGAAGAATAAACACAAAGAGCAGTACAGATAAACACAAAGAAGTACAGATTACTACCCGTTCTTCGTTCTCTCCCTCTGCATATTTCTCGCCGTTTACGATTTCGGATCTCTTCTAGCTATTTCTGAGTTTCGCTCACAAGTTTTGATTCCTTTTTCTTCTCGAAAAGAACTTTTCAAGTTCCACCTCTAAGTAATCGACGACGGTCGGTATTATCTGACCATGATATCTTCGAACAGAGGTCAACTCAGAGATTCCATGGAGAACTTGGTACAAGGTCTCCCATCTCCAAATCAAAATAAGGATAAGATGACAGTGGAAAATCATATTGCTAGAAAGAAACGTTGCAGAATCCGCGCTTTAAAATCCAGAGTCGCGCTCCCATCAAATATAATTCTCGATTTTTTGCCAAACTTACCGGAATTCGCGTTTTGGGGTTTGAAAGCGGGAGCGTCTGGGTATTGGACGACGAATTGTGTGATTTAAGTAGTACCCATTGAAATGAGCTATTTTCTTAATGCCCCGGATACGATAGTCTAGATTGAGGTGACTGACATAGGTTTAGGGGAGGCATACTCGAAGGCATGTGGATGACCATGAAAGCCCACGGAAAAGAGCTCACTCACCACATTCGCTACACCTAACTTATTTAGGCATTGCATAGTATACCTAGACTAGGGTGAGGGATAGTTCCCCAAAGTATTTGCTTTTATCCTTATTTGTTCTCTCTACTAGTTACTTCGCTTGAATCCTCCATCACAAACCCTTAAACCAATCGTCTAGATAATAACAACGTGGGAAGTAGGTTAGGGTACCGGGACCCGAGTGAATACGATCTTGATTGCCACTATATGACAACGCCACTCTAGGTAAAACTTGGTCTAGGATGTGATAGTTATTGAAACGTGCTAGCCATTGACAATGACTTGCACGAAATGAATGAATGAGGCTTTTTGACGCCGTTATCGAGGAACCTCGGTAACTAGTAGAAAACCATAGAGTTTTTAGTTTATCCTTTATTTTCTTTGTTTTGTTTTTGTTTTTGTTTTTATTATTTTCTTTTCTTTTGTTTTGCTTTGTGTTATGTTATCCAACTTTGTGCGTCACAGGTTGTTGAGTTTGTGTCTTATAACACTTTTGTATGCGAAGAAGGGACTCTTTGGAGATATTACCTCTTGATACAGAAATCGAGAGAACCCTTCGAAATCCAAGAAGAGTTTTGAGACATCAACCTTCACCAAGACGGATCAACAACAACAACCTCAAGTTCGACCAAGGTCTAGAACCATGGGATCCTACTCTTGCCCAAACAAGAGTGTGACATCAACTTAAAATTTAGACATAGATCTAATAGAAGATATGATTCACGTAATATTTTTCTTGTGTACAATTTTAGAAGAACAATATATTATGAACATTTTTTAAGTTCTTATATTCTTCCTAACTCCTACCGAAATTGACGAAGGTCGTGGCTTTGGTGATATCTTTAGAATCTAGTAAAAAGTAACCAACTAAGGGTGTTTATTATAAGTTCTACGAGTTTTGAAAAATAAAAGGGTAAATATTTGTTTTTTGCCAAACCTTTCACGAATTTTAAAATATTAGCCAAATCTTTGAGAAAATGAAATATTAACCAATGGATAAGTCTCCGTTAATACTTCTGTTAGATGATGATGAGCTGGCAGTGGCATATGTGATGCTGAGATGTAAGGATTCTAGTTACACGACATTCAAAAAGAATAATTTTCTATTTCATAATTTATTATCTAAATTAAAAAGGGTAAATATTATTTTTTAGCAAAACTTTTCACGGGTTCTAAAAAATTAGCCAAAGCTTGTGATACGATCCAAAATGGTTGGTTCTACAAGTCTCAGTTGCTTGACGAATAAGCTATCTCAATTGGCCAAAGAACGGTGAAAATTTGGTTGTCTAAAAGCAGTTTCAGGGTGTCTACTTTGGGAATCCATACATCACCATTGGCTCAATAAAAATGCAAAAGAAGACTTGGAATTGAAGATCAAGTGTTTCTCTACAAGCTAGAAGGCTTGGTTGTCCTGAAACAAGTCATTAAGGTTATTTTTCAAAGGCGTCAAGTTGCTATGAAGAAGCAAGAAAACTGCAAGATTTTGGCCAAGGCATAAACTGTGTTTGAGATACCATCTTTTCGTGGAAATTGGAGTACATTCGAACGGAGATTCGAGTTGAGATGAAAGTATAACACTTTGTAAATAATGTGAAGGAATTGACTGAGTGTGGATCAAGATAGAAGGTCATTTTCCAGAAGCTCAAAGTTCATATGAAGGCTGTTTTTCTTAGCAGATTTACATGCATTTTAAGTTAGTTTCTTAGTGTTCAAATCACCTTATTTATGTCGAATTTAGTTTCCATGGTCCATTAAACTGTATCGTACCGACGGTTGAACTACGAAATACCAGTATTAGAGGCTAAAACGGTATACGATATTTAATGGTACTACGGTTGAACTATGATTAAACCACGGTTTTACCATAAAATACCCTACCGCTGACTTTTCCGGTAGGATCGATCTCATGGACCATGCCAAGCAACCAGACACTTAATCCGCCTAGTCATTTTCTAATCTCTACCTACCTTAGTCCAAACCATACCAAGCAACAGATAACATTTCAACTGAACCGTCAATAGTGGGTCTATCATGCATTGAATCATTACCGTTATAGCGATGAGTGAGAACTTAGTCATTACATCACAACACAGTTCCTAGCGTCTCTTCACGGGATCTTATAGACAAAATGAAGCAAGTTCCACATCAAGACAACAGGGCTGCAAATGACAAACGGAAGAAGTTGGTTTGACCACGCTGATCATCACTCTTTAATGGACAAACCCATATTTTGGTTCTCTAGCTGGGATGGTTAGAAGTTGAGAAGTCGAGAGGTTCACACACCAATTATCTACTGCTGATCTTGGATCAGCTGACTCACATGATCATGACCCCCTGGTTCACTCGTTTCAGGTTGCTCGATTGCCAGAGCTACGTCACTTTCAGCACTATTGCTTGCTGCATCAGTTGGCGGAGTTGGAGGTCTGACCTCACCACTACGGACCGGCCTAAGGAAGCCTTGTAACCTCAATCGGTAGCTTTCGCTTGCAGGTTGTGACCTCATGTAACGGGTGGAAGTAGTTACAGTGGTTGGTGTTGAAGACCTCTCTATATTGGACAAGGCACTGAGGTCGAGGTTGGGAAACACCGAGCACCTGCACCTCGGACATTTCACGTTCAGCCGCAGCCACTCGTCTATGCACTCAACATGAAAATTGTGGGCACAAGGCAAGCCACGAACCTGGACAATTACAAGAAAGGAAAGCATGTTAGTTATCTGCTGTTTCAACCTGTGATATTAATCCCTGAACAATACTAAGGAAATTGCTGTTAAACCTCATTCCCAACACGAAACTCTTCTAGGCAAATTGGACATTCACTGCAATCTGTTGGAACAACCTTTAGCCTGAACTTTGGTAGCTCCTGAATCAGAGCTTCGACAGCTTCTCTCTGTGAAATGAGAACTATCAGCTTGCCACAACCATTTTAATGGGATATCAAGACTCAAAGAGTGAGTTATGGAAGCAGAAGCAGCCACCTGAGTAGGAGTTAAATAAAGTCCCGGGTGGTATGCAGTATTATTATCTTGACCCATACCACGCATTTCTTGACCAGCAGCTTCAAATGCCCAGTCCGGAACCTGGATCATGTCGACTATAACCTGGGATATGGTGCATGTGGATGGATGAGTAAATGAACCATCTTCAATTAGTTTTAAGAAATTATTATCCAAGAACTTTTGAACAAGATCAACAAATCAAAAATTTCAAACCAAATACCCTATATTCTGTAACAGGAACTCCATTCTGTGCCCGTGCAACCAGTGCTTGTCTTCTACTTAGCCACTGCAATGGAAATAAATTGCAGTACATGCATAAATAGGTAGGGTATACTGGAACATTAAACAGATAGAGAAACACTTTGGTATGCTGCTTAGCTGTATACACGTGGTAGAAAGATGATATAGAACAAGATAGCTCAATCGGAAAAAGCATGGCACTAAGAAACTAAGAAGCGTGAATACCTTTCCAATACACATGCAAGCAATGCATACGAGTCCACAGTAGCTGAACAGCAACCAAATAAGGAAACCCCATTTCTGACCTTCTTCTGGCAACTGCATGAAGATGAGATAAGATTCGACATGACCTCCAGTAAGATGACTCAGAATGTCAAAAACTAAATTGAGGGAATCTAAGGAAAGGGAGCTTACACAATTTCTTGCGCTTGTGAACCAAAGTGTTCCAATCACAGTCCAAGCCCATAGAAACGGATAGAGCATCATCGACAAGATTGAAATAACCACCACTCTTCCACAATAAAGGGCATATCTCTGCTGCCATCCAAAATCCCTACCGTCATGTGAAAGACACAAATGGAGACGATGTAACAATTTAACACATCACAGTCTAGAGGAAATTGTGAACAAACATCAACTGAAGGCAATGCGATTGAATTAGAGTGAAAACAAACGCATCATTTGATTTGTCACAGTGGGTCAAGCATAGACAACAGAAATGATTCGCGTATATCATCTCAAAGAACCTATTCATTAAAACTTCAGAAAGAGAACGAGGGTCCAAATCCCCAAAGAGATTCACTACAGAAACTGAATAACAAAAGCCAATGTAGTAATGATACTTACAATACCATTCCAGCAGCAAGTCCATTATCTATGAACATCAACAGACGAAACACAAACACGGTAGTGTAATCAACCTGCAGCAGCAAAGATGGAATAAGCTTTTTCCAGCCCCTAAACCGGAGCTTCAAAACAGTCGGATCCACAAGACTAGAGAGAGAGACTCACCACAATCCATATGTGCAGAGGGTGGGTACAGAAATGATAGCGCTTCCAATTGATGGCAACAATTATTCTGTCAGCGGGGAACCATTTAGGAAGAACAACACCCAATTCCCAATTCCGAAAATAACTTTAGAGATTCAAATACAGAAAACCTGAGAGAACCTCAAGAAACAAACACAGAAAAACGATTCAGAATTCAAGGATACACGCTCGTCGCCAGCATGGACAAGAAGAAGCCATCGTACCTGGAGAAATAACCCAAAATTCTTAATGTAAGACAAGCTGCTACACACCCATTGAAGAGAAAATCTCACCAATTTGAAGCTTGCTACTATGAACAGCATAAAAAAAAAAGATGGAACTTTACCACTTGAAATCAACTCCCCGGATAGCCATAATCGGGAAAGCAAGAAAGGAAACACTCAGAATAGCTACAGGTGGGAGAGCATCATCTCAAGCGGAGAGGATGAGGCGGGAATCCAAAACGAAGCCTGGCATTTAACTGAAACAAGTAGCAGCAGCAGCAGTTGTTGGGTTGCAGAAATGCGAGGAGTTAGAGCTGAATTACCGATTTTGAAAGAAAAAAAGGAAAGAGAATGAAAGTCCTTTTCTCTTCTTACTTTAGCTGGGACTGGGAGCCTGGGAGCGAGTTGGGTGGGGGCAGTGGAGAAGCTAAAGCTTACAGAAGTTGACGGCGGTGTGAGCGAGTGTGTGAGTGTGACTTGACGGCGTTAAAATGGGAAGTGGAGAATAGCGGTAGTCTGGCAAACATAATGCACTCATCAATATGGGTGTACATGGCCCGGATAAAAAAAGGAAAAAACATGGCGGCGGAGACTAATGTACCATTGTACAACTTATACAAGATTTTCCAATACATTCGTTTTTTAATGGAAAATCTGGAAATCCCGCATTACAGTGTTTCGACTATACTCAACAAGTGGCCACCATCCTCATTGCTCAATTTGCTCCAAACCAAACAATTACCGTTTACCCATCATTTTTCTTCCTCCTCCTCCAGTCCTTCCTATGGTGCCTCCAATCTAGTTCCCTTCACCGCCCGTCGCCCGACCTCCCCAGGCTCTTCTTCAACATTGTTGATAATCCTTATTGAGATTGTGCTACAAGCTTGGGGATAAAGCTCGAAGATGGACGTCCGCACATCACTTTTGGTGTCCAACATCATATGATTGGTCACCTTTGATGACACACACTGCTAGCTAATCGAGACGGTCTGCTCTTGATTCGTAACATCGACCTTCTTCCTCTCACACTAGAAGGACATTATGAAGTCAAATTTTGCCAGCTTTTCAGAGGGATATAAACATATTTATTTGGAGGACCGGTGCTCACAAACTACCCTCAGATGATCGTTCCTCTAGACATAGGATTAGAGGTTTGTGGGGTCCTTACGACTGCCAATCGGGTTGCCCATAGTGTAGTAATAAAAGCCCTTTCTCTGTCTAGTTTTAGAGTTGCTTTTATTTGATTTTGTTACTTTGGGTGGGAGGGATTATAGGGTAGGTGTGTTTCTAACATTCTATTGTCATATCTCAGAATAAAAAAAATAAAAAATAAAACTAGGGGTGTACATGGGTCGGGTGGTCCAGGTTTAGTCATTTTAATCACCCGACCCATGCACTACGGTTTGGGAAATATTAAACCCAAACCCACCCAAAAAAATTAAAATCCTACTGTTTGTTTCTAATTGGGTTGGGTCGAGTTGGTGATATTTTTAAGTAAAAACCCAACCCAACACAAAATATGTAATTATTCTACACCATAAAAATATTTTATAACTAATTAAAGTTTCAAACGAATAAATTGAGGTGAAAGGTATCAAAATTTCACAAATGTTTTTTAAATTTTAACAAAATGTGATTTACTTCAACAAATGTCTAATTTTTTCACGATATTTGTTGAAATAGGCTAAAATGTTATAAACAAACACATCCATAATAGTTATTCTATTAAAATGGTACACAAGAAAAAGGATTAGGTGAATCATAGCTATATTAAATCTATGTCTAAACTTTAAGCTGAAGAATGCATTAGATTAGAGATACAATGAGAGAAAAACATGGCGAAATATCTTAATTTTCTCATAAGTATGGTTATATACGATATAAATATTTTTTGGATACGAGCTCATATCAATAGTTGGAAAAAGGGTTGGATCGGGTTCTACGGGTTGTGCAATCCAAAATCCAAACTCAACCCAAAATAGGCGGGTTGTACAAAAGAAAACCCTCACCAACCCAAAACCTTAATTTTAACGATAAAACGTGTGGGTTGGTCGGTTTGTACGGGTGGGTCGGTTTGCGAGTGTGTTTGTGCACCCCTATCATCAATTACCAAATTTAGACCTATATTTAATGTCAAGTGATGAAGTACACAATCCACTGCTACAAAATCACTACAAAATTTCATTATTCAATCTTCATTCTCTCTTTCATTTAATGGTCCTGATTATTTCGCAAAAAAGGGACATACTGGTAATTCTGTCACCCTCTGTCTTATTTTTGTTTAGCGATCCAGAGGTTACTTTTCATAATCCCTTATTTTTCATATTTGTATCCTACAAAGTTCGTTTTAACTCCGAATTTAAAAACATCGAATAAAAAGAATGCATTAATTATGACTTACACAATGATATCCATTTTGCTATATTTTGAGCAAAGAAAAAAATGAACTCTTCAAAATACATGTCGATTGTAGTATTATCACTGTCATATCTACAAAAAATGCATGAATTATGATATACACAATAATATAGATCTTGTTATGTTTTTTGAAAGATAAGATTTCATCCCAACATCGTATCAGTGTCATATCTTAGGGATAATATCAGGATATGACAATGATATGGTGTTATCAAATTATTTTGACAAACGTAAGACATAATACCAACATCATAACACCATCATACCGACATCATATCAACATTATATCACTATTATATCAACATTATACCATTATGATATCTGATAACACCCAATTGGTGTTATTTACCCTTCGTGTTTAGGGTCGCTTCGTGCTTATTCATGTGTATAATCAGAAGAATATCATCGATTGCATCCCTATTTCGTTCATATTTGATTATGATGTGATTTTAGAGTTCTTTAGACGATATATGTGAATTAGTTACAAAAAAGGGCATAAGTATAGCAAAATGGGCAAGAAACTGATGATCACGGCCTGAAGGGGAAGATCTCGGCCGAGACAACAGGCCACAAAACAGAAGTGAAGAGCGCGGCCTAAGGACCCAAGATCGTGGTCACGATAATGGAGCCTTTGGGGGCGAACTTTGTGAAAAAGCCAACCGAGAAGGAACAAAGAGTTTTTGCCAGTTTGGTCACGGTCACCGCCTTCCCTGCCTGCGAGGAAGTTTGCGGCCGCGACTCACGAATCACAACCGTGAAGTCAGACCGTGAACTCTCATCAAAAGAAGACCAAAATGGCGACGCCTAAAGATAGCGGTCTCGGACTGCTTAGCCGCGAACTCGTCTGCCCCCTAAAGTCTATAAATAGAGGACCTCTTCCCCCATTTTAAGAGAGCTGGTTTTGAGATAGAAATTTTTGGTTGAGAGAGAGAGAGAGAGAGAAGACGAAGGAAGGAGAAGCTAGAAGAGAGGATCAATCTTCCTCAACATCAAGTCTTCCCCAAATTCTTCTATGTATCTTCTTCCCTCATTTATGGAGTAGTCTCTTAAAGTACTAGGGTTTCTAAACCCCAAACCTAGTTTTATGGTTATTGTGCAATGAATGAATATGTTAGGATTCTAAATGAATGTGTTTTCCTAGTTGATTTTAATGTTTCATCTACTTTAATTGTGCTTGGGTAAGTCGCCATAATCTTCTTTACTAGCCTACTTGAGCTTCTACGTTGGGTATGGAGTTTTAGGGTTAGACATGTATTGATCGTATGTGCATGATCAGCTTTTAAATTTATAAGTCGACGCACTCTCTATACAATCCTAATTAAGCCAAGCATAACCTATCTAGGGTTGTTGTAAAGTGGCTCGGTCAATTCCAAGGGAACCCTAAGCTTACTATTACTGTGCTCCCAACTACTATCTAATCGAATCGGAAGTTTGGTGGAAAGTCTAATCTAATCTAATCCTAAAGGAAGAATAAACAACCAACCAAGTAGTTGGGATAGCGCTATAAATGAGATGGTTGCCTAGGGTCCAATTCTGCAAGCTATGGTTGTCAAGTAGGGTTAACCGAAGGTGGTGAGTGAGTTCTTTTCCGTGGGCTTTCGTGGTTATACACACGCCTCCCCTAACCCCATGGCAGTCACCTCGATCTAGGCTATCGTATTTGCGGCATTAAGACCATATCTCATTACAATGGGTACTACCCACCGTCCACACCAAGGTTTCATCCCATGTTCTATATAAGAAGACATTCTTATGATAGGGGTATGGTTGCCTTATCCACCATAAGATCCTATTTATTCAGCTAACCCTAATATTTTTTTTATGGTGTATACTTGTCTAACACTAAAACTCCATACCCAGCGTAGAAGCTCAAGTAGGCTAGTAGAGAAGATTAAGGTGACTTACCCAAACACAATTAAAGATAGAGAAGCAATGAAATCACCTAGATAAACACATTCAAACATAAGCCATTCATTCACAACCTATAAACTAGGGTTCATCTTCCCTAAACAACCATTAGAGATTCAAGTCATAGAGAGAGAAAGAAAACACAAACTAGAAGAGAGGGAGTGATGGAATCAATCTTCTTCTCCTTGCTCCTTGGGTGGATTGGACATTTAATTAAGCTCTCCCAAGGTGTTGTCCTCTCTAAAACAACCCTAACTTTCTCACTCTAGGTTGGCTCCCCCTTGTCAAGTGCACAAAACAAGTATATAAATCTGATGGTGGTCAAGGCCTCCCGGGTGTGACTCAATGGTAACGGCAGTGACCTGGCCGTGACTAGCTGGAAATTCTCCGAATAGCCCGAAATGATGGGTTTTCAATCCATCTTTAAGCTCTGAGATCGCGGCCTCCTTCATAAGATCGCGATCGTGATTTTTGTGTCCCGGGCGCAATCTTTTTCGCTGTCAAAATGCACCATGTCTGCGATCCGATTGGAGAAACTCTCTGCCTTCTTCTTGGTCGTTTGATGAAGTTCGCGGCTACTGTTCACGACCGCGATTTTCAGTCCGTGAACATGGTCACGGCCCGGTCGTGACGGGTGGCCATGACTAGTGCATGTTCTCCCCTTATTGCTCCTATGCTTTCTAATCGTGCTCGGATGAACTCCAATCGATTTCCGATCAATCCCAAAATGCATATAAGACCTGGAATTTCATCACAAGCATTTGGAAAAACAAAAAATACGACAAAGTGGGGCCAGTTCCCCTATGAAAACTTTCATGTCATGAATACCTATGCCAAAACGCATGTTTTGCGAATAGGAATGAATATGAGCATAAATAACTTGATATGTGGCCTAGACAGGGTTATTTAATATGCAAATGCCTTAATAGTAAGGGCTAAATAACACCTATCTTAGGCGTTATCAAACTCCCCCACACTTAAGCGTTTTCTTGTCCCAAGCAAACCTACTCAAACTCGTACAACTAGCAAGATAAATCCTAATGTCATGCATAATAGATCGTCGGTAGA